AAGACGGGATGGAGCATCGTGAAAAAAAAACGAAGGTCTGTGGTTGACTCTGGGCAGGAAACCTTGTGGCTGGTAAAACAACGGTACAGACATCCAACAACCAGCCTCAAGTCTCCAGATACAACCGTGGAATGTGCTCCACCAATTGCATAGCCGAATCTTTCGGCTGGCCATATCAATAGCTCGGGCCGGGCCTCGATTTGTATATCGGTCTACTAGCAGCATTTGAACAAACGTCAGTACAACCAGAGGAATCTTGGACAAAGAGCTCAGTCGTGCGAGATCAAATGCCCAGGTGGCGTGTGTGGACCAACGCTCATCCGTGGATGTATTGAAAGCGCTTGTGTCTGGTACATACGGGAGCAACGCACAGACAGTCGTTAGGCTCGTGCTTGAAGCTTGAGCTATTATCCAACTGAGGCAAAGCTTGAGTCGGTGATGAAAGGAGGTGTGGCCGAATTATGCTGGGCTGAGCTGCCAGTCATGACTTGGTTTTAGTTCGACTTGCAAGGGGGTTTTGGCAGATGTCAAGTCACTCTGGAATCTGGGTCTGGTTCTCTTCTAACCGCAATGGTATTCGCGTCGTCTCTTTGAGAGAGACCAGAAGAGGTTCGTGGATGATGCCCTAAAAGGATCACCACTGAAACATGCATTGGGCAAGTTTGGCCAGTTGTGAAATTCAGGCCTTTTTTTAATGAAAGGTATGAAACGAAAGATCAAGTCCTCCTCCAATGTTGGATGGACGACTTCCATGTCGATATAAAGAGCCGCCGGCTAGTGCCTTCCCGTCCTGTAACAGGGAAGGTACAAATGCGGTCAGAAGAAATGGAAAGGACCAACATTGGAAACCTCAATGGTCAGAGGCCTGCCTAGGAAAGCAACAAAACTAACACCGGGAATATAATCTAGTGCTAACTTAATATGGCAACTAGTATGTGATGTCTGTAATTCGTTGCTCATATTCCAATTAGTACATTAGGAGGTAGATACATATTCCAACAGTTGGAGTCCATCCGTTATGAAATTAGGTAGTACGGAAGTACAGGGAGCCGAGCGCAGCCGCAAGCAAACATGACGAGCTTCCATTGGCATCATCTCCACTACACTTTAATTAGCACAAGCGCAGACCTCTTCTCAAACAGTTCAGACTCGATCCTAGTATTCAGCTCCCCGCGGACGATCATACCCCATCGACCACTACGCAGTGCGCGCTGACGCTGAAGCTGACGCTGGATGGTTGGCTGTTAGCGCCTAGGCCTGCCTGGCTGAGCGTGCTGAGCTGCCAGACAGGCTGTGATACATGGGTGAGGCTGGCATCTTGCGGTAAGTTTCTGGTACCACAATGTCCAGCACCCATGGAGGTTCGTCGATTACTTATTAACGCCTACTTCGTCATTATCAATATTGTGAATTCATTAACTCTATGAGGTTCAATAGAGGTCATGTTGAAGCCGTCACACTTCAATAGGCAATTCGCCACTTAATTTTGATACCCAACCATAGGGAGTCCGCCCAAGAGACACACAACCATGCAGTCTTCGCAGACAAGCACAGAATAGTCGAACCTCGTTCTATTCTCGGTGGTGCTTCGAGTATAGTTTGTTCAAGTTTGAACACTCACGTTCCAGTCTACCTATTCCTATTGTAAGCTTCGAATCAAGTACGGCCCAACCTCTACAGTGAACGTGGGCCAAGCCTAACCAAGCCTTACGGGGGCTACCCTGGCATGATGACTGTCACGGAATGCCGCGATGTGATTGACTGAGCCAACTGTCTCGAACTAGGCGGTTCCTGCAAACCCTTGACTGCCAGTGGGCATACCGGTTGAGGCGTCAATTCAATGGTCTCTGTGGTGTTTCGACTCACATGTCGCTACCATCTTGTTTGACTTTCGGGAGCCCGATATGCGAGAGAACGGGGTCTGGGGGTTTATCCCTCAACAACAGAACTCAAGACATCCATGCCCAAGATTCAAGTTCCAAGACTTGGGCCTCCCTTCACATGCGTGCTTACAGCATCAGAGACTTGGACATAAGACATACCCAAACGGGTGGCTTAAAACACAGAAGGCCTCATGTTCTTTAAGGGAACTAAATTTCTGTAGGCGGGTCAGTCTGGCGTATAGTTTTGAATCACTCTGACCGAGACGATGGATCTCTTGGCATCCGTAGTTCGTACCGATGACATTTTATGCAAAGCTTCGTGGCATTTCTTGACAATGGGTGCTAGACGTCTGGTGTTGGAAGTGTATGCATCTGGCACACCCCAATCAGAGAATCCTTCTTTTCGTTGGTTCTGCGGACATTGAAGACAACATTTTATATGAGACGTATATATGATTATTACCATGTTGTTACTCCGATTCTGTCTCCATTGTGGCCACGTGCTAGGGTATATCAAGCTGGTGCTCATCTGAGAATGAATGAAGGCAATGATAACAATGGTAGACTACATGGCATTGTTTTCTTTGAACCCTATTTGGCCCTAGATTTATCAACTGCACCATCTCACGAAAACAATTGAACGGAGGAACTCGATCTTTGTAATTGGAGCCCTTCAGAGTCCAAGTTAAATATTCACCACCCTTGTCAACTCAAAGACGAACAAAGAAAACCGGACCCGGCAACTCCCCCATGTGAAGATCGTAGCGACGTGGACCAGAGGGGAGTCCATGATGAGTTGGTGTAGAGCCAGGGGGGGCGTGCAGCCGATGCACCTAGCCCCGAAGCTGGAGACGAAGATTAGACGCCAACGCCCCTCTCAGCCAAGGCAAGGCAAGTCAGTCATGACAAAACAGGACCAGCCAGACAAGGCCGCGGCTGTGCAAGGCGATGAGTGAGAGAGAGAGACAAGAGCGTTGCGGTGTGCGTCGTTATACAGCAGTTCATCCGCGCAGCAAAAGATGGTGTTGAGCTATAACCCCGGTCTCAACTATGACAGGTGCCAGATCGGTTTGGTCACTGGGGATGGCTGTCTCGACAGTGATGCTGAGGCCATAGTGGCATGGAATCGCATGGCATGGCAAACCATGTTATGGCTTCTGTCGTAACAGTGGGTTGGTCGGAAGACAACTTGATCAAGACCGAACTCAGGATAACCTCACCTTGCAGCCCCGTATTGGGCCAGCTCATTGAGCATGACGCGCTTTGCATTGTATTGACTCAACCTGTATTTTCTTTTTCTGCTTCATCCTTTCTCAGTGTCATTTTCATGTTCTCACACTAGGTCCTCCTCACCCTGGGTATCTCTTGGACAAGATGTAGACATTGGAAGCACAGAACCAACACCCAGCGACTAATACCAACCGTATAGGTAGCCAGCAATGCGATGCTTCTCCAACGTTTATCCCCGGCCCGTTGATGTCCTCTGCCTTACTACCAAACGCATCGACTCCACTCACCTTACTTATTCATCTTCGTCGATACAGTAGACACGCCTTCAGATACCCCTGTCATCGCGATATTGCTGCCGACACCCCTCCCCATGCTCCTCGATGCCTGCTCCTAGACCATCCTGTTCGTTCAAGGTCGTGCTTCTTGATGGATTTGCTCGTCACATAGGTACATTATAGGTCAGGCTTCCTGCTAAGACGCACCATGTTCACCGTTTCGTGGAGATGCAATCAGACCCTGATTTCCTCACTGCATCTTCCTCTCCCCACACCGTTACGCTGTTACTGCGTCGCCTCTTTTCGACCCGACAAGCTCTTTTTGGACCTTGAGTCTAATAATATTCTCCGGGCTCAACTTTCTTTTCTTTTTCGATTCTTCCAGAGTCCACTTCTTGGCCTTATTCAGCTTGGGCTCTCATCCACCTCCAGTTCTACTGCCTGCACCTCGGTCAGGACTAACAACACAAGAATAGGAACAGGAAGAAGCAAGGCGGTCCGTAACGTGGGTCCATATCCTGCGCATAAGTAACATCTCCTGGAGGTTATACTAAGTTAGTAGGGGCCCAGCGGAAGATCTGACCGAGTTTTCTCTTACTCAAAAGTGAAAGACCCTCGAAGGTCTTCCTTTTGCCTCCTACCTATTGCCATCTCATCTATTCTCTGCTCTCCCCACGGCTTTCGATAACAGCTTGTGAGATAACAAGCCTTACATTGGCCTCATTTACCTCGATTGGCGCCCCACGACTTGCTCTGCCTCACCATATCATCCTATTTGAATCCATTGGCTGGAGAGAACCCTGGACATCACCAATCACATTGCCATCTGCCCATCAACGCCTTGGAGCCACGCTTTATGATCTGAACAACCATCACTGTTGCCTCCCGAGACAGTTCTTTCTCCTTTTGCATCTTTGTGGCAACCCGGTACCTGACAGAGCCCAACTGTGTCGATACCTAACCCAGCTGCCCACCACTACGCATCAGTCAATACGAGAAGGCCTCCATTACTACACTCCAAGACTTATAGACACTAAGGGCGACATCAACACAAGTGACTTCATTCTCGGAGGTTTCAAGGAGCAAACTAATTACCTCACCTCGATCTCACGAATATAGTCCACGCACCTCTAGCCGACTCAACCATCTATCTGTACAGTGGAAAGAAACATAGGGGTTTTGTGACACCCGGTATACAACGCCCTTAAGCAGCATCAGGCTTCTCGGAGCCGCTGCAACAGACATTTCTTCACCAACACAACCAGAAAAAGTCGCCGAGCTGGCCCAACTCAAGAGCGAGTCTCCACTCTGCCTCTTGCGGGCAGAGTTACCGCCATCCATCGTGGGTGTAGAAGACCGCCTCGAGCGGGGGCGCACGCCTCGCTCATATGCTAACGGTCCATACGCGGGAAGACTGGATGGTCAGACTGTCGCGTTAGACTTTGCTGCTCTTCTGAAGGCATCTGGATCTCATGAGCCTCCTGCCTCGCCGCTTCATCAGACCCAGCCTGTTCCAGCTCCCACTTATCAACCATTCCCTCTCAAGGCGTCGCCAGCTCCACCACGGCCTGTTGCGCATGTGGCGCCACCACCGCAGGTAGCTTCGACACAGATGTCTGGAAGACGCGGCATACACTCCCATGCTACAGATCAGCCACCCGTGAAGAAGCAGAGCAAGTGGTCACCGGAGGAAGATGCCCTTATCATCGAGCTTCGAGGGCGTAATATGAAGTGGGAGGACATCTCAAAGCGTCTGCCTGGCCGGAGTGCCATCAGCTGCCGCCTGCACTACCAGAATTACCTCGAAAGACGGAGTGAATGGGATGAAGAGCGCAAGAATAAACTCGCCAGACTCTACGAAAGGTAAGGGGGCGGTATAAGCCATTGGCCTTTTAGGAAACATACTGACAGGACTTCAGGTTCAAACCAGAAATGTGGGCAAAAGTTGCAGAAGAGATGGCGGTGCCCTGGCGAGCAGCAGAGGCCATGCATTGGCAGCTTGGTGAGGCAGATATGGCTAGACGTGCAGGAGTTATCCCTTTCTCTCTAGCTGCAGTCAATGTCGAGGGAAACAACAGTCACAGGAGCTCCCCCTCACGCAGCCACATCCACTCGCAGCCCCAAGTCAGCATGCCTCGCGATCTTGGAGTACCATCGCCTCGAATTGTGTACAACAGACCTCCGCCGATGCCTGCCAGCAGCCGAACTATGGTTCCCCGCCGAGAGTCGATTCCTCCGCCGCCTCCTTTGTCCATGGTTCCAGATCCTGCTGAAGCTCAGTATGTACCAGGGCCAGGTTTGGCCCCGATCCAGAACCAGCCACCACCTCGAACAGCTGGTATGCTTCCTGGGGTTGCTGAACTTACTGGAGGAGTCAGCCCCTACAGTGCACCTGCTGCAGTGCCTAACATGGGACCTATACCCGGGGTAGGTCAGGGCCCTCTGTATTCAACACTCGCCAGTTACTCGATGGAATCGGCCGGGTCCAAACGAAGAGCTTCCCCAGATGAATATTCGCACGAGGCGAACCAGCGACGCCGAATCACATAGCCTGTCCATGCCTGAGGCAGCTGTACTATATGGGCGCCGCTTGATGAGTGACCATTGAGTCTTCCAGGACATTTGTTTTGCATCTCGTCTCATAAGGCGACAATGCGGGTTATTGAGTGTGGTAAAGAATGTACTACTTATTATGATGGTGTTAAGAGCATGGGATTGCATAACTACACGGACAGGAACAGAACAACATTTTTTATCAACTTATGGGCAACCTATTGCCTTCGGGTCTGATTGAAGCATACCGAGGAACACAATAGCATATGGATTTAACGACGGAACGGGATGGATTGGACAGGATGGAATGTGGGCATGACTTAATGTAAAGAAAATCTTTGTTGGGGAAACCATTGGTGTGCTTTTTTCTTCTCATTTCGGTTCTTTGAATTGTTTTTTTTATTACGTTCATGTACTACAATTTGCATTAGCCAGAGGCATCTGCATGGCAATGGATACTGGTTGTTTGAGGAGCTAGGAAAGGAAGCATCAGAAAGGGTGAGGTCAAGGATGGCCTCAGGAAACCGGAGTTGAAAGAGAGATAGTGTTGTTTTGTTGCACAGCGTTTGCATTTCCCCTATTTAGTATCCCTTTCCCATTGATAGACACATATGGAGATGCGATAGAGAAGTTATCGGCATAGAAGAAATGTACAGTTAGCGATGTTACTTTAGTTGAGCAATACCTTGAATATATTACCAGCCTAAAGACGGCCGAGTACTCTTCCATGGTTGGACAAGACCGAATCATGCAGCGTAAACATCGGTGAAAGATTCCTGTCAAGGTTGGTAACCATACGCATAAGGTGTCCAGAACTTTTTTTTTTTTTTCCCGTGACGCCTATAAGATCTTGCCTTGCGCCGCAAGTTGCCGTTGATGAGGTCTCACGACGGTCGACTACATACCACCCACCAGTTATCCTTCTCATAGCCAGTCTCTACAACGATGCCCCCAGCCGCCTTGACATCCTCCTCGAGCTCACCCTCCTTGTACAGGTGGTAGTAGCGCTGGAACGTGCCTCCGGGTTCTTGACCTTTTGGCTTCCGCATCACCCACGACACCAGGCGATCCTGGTCACTGCTCGCGTCCCACCCGCGACGGCTTGACGCCTGCTCGAGAGCCCACACATAGACGAGCACACGGCCGGCTTTGGGAGTAACGAGTGCCAGTAACTCAGCAATGGCGGCTTGTCTTCTCTCGCGTGTCGACATATGGTGCACAACAGCGATGCAGATAACAAAGTCAGCGGCTCCATTGCGATAAGGAAGGGCGAAACCATCGGCGACAGCAACATCTACATCGGATACTCTAGGATCATGCTCGACACCGTCTTCCCGAGGCCGTCTCAGCTCAGTCCGGGCGAGCTGGACGAGAGCTGGACTCCGATCGGAGCCAAGCAGATGGACAGACGGGTTGACACGTAGATACTTGCCGTTGCCGCATCCCACATCGAGACCGAGACTACCAGGCGGTTGAGATAGCAAGAAGCTGGCAACCCGAGGCCAAGGCTTATGGCGTGTGGCCGAGAAGTGCGGTGCGATGGCTTCGTAGACTGCGTGAACGTGGGTGGCCTCGTACGTCTCTGGCGCCTCTTCCGCTGCAGATTGTGAGAAGGACTCTGGCTCTGTGGGGGCCGATGTCTGGTTGGGTTGTGCCTGAGAGCTGGGCTGCTGGAGTGGCCTGTCCTCTCGATCTCCAGCCGGCGTGGCCGATGAAGCACTTGCCATGATGAAGACGATGAAAGGTTCCGTGCAAGTTCTCTATGGGCGCCTTGTGGAGTATAATCTTCCTTGTCTCTCGGATGTATCTGAGATGACCTAGAGAGCGAGGGAGGGGGTGTGAAGTTGTTGCGTCTGAGCGTTGAGAGATGAGGTTATGATTGAGTTGGTTGGTTATGTTTCTTGTGATGCTAACTAATTTCTTCAATACCCGAGTAGTGAGTGGATGCCCTGGTCTGGGTCGTGTTGGGCTGGGCTCAACCGGGGTAATTAGTGGGTGTGGTCTGCGATTATCTACCTCAGGTACTGCACAGCAGTGTTTAGTGGAGTCAATGGATGTTTTGCGGCGGCTCCGTCTTCGTCTTGTGGCTTGAAGGAACATTTTCACCCCATTACTACCTACCTACCTACTTCATACAACGGTGGTCAGTCATGAATAATGGCTCATACGAATAAATGTCTCTGATGATTCAAGTATCTCTAGGTACCTGGCTTATTGATTTGCTAGGTTAGCAGTGAGACCAAACCAACCATTGCCCCGTGCGAGTATGGTATATTGGTGGCTGAGTGCCAAGTTGATGATTCTGACACTATAAAATACAATGCAGTCAGTTGGCTCAGTCAAGGATTGAAGTATTGTGATCAGGATCAAATTACATATGAAGTAAGAAAAAAACCTCTCTTATATCCCCTGTTAAATTTTGAGGCCCCTTGTCACGAACACCTCGGATCCGCCTCCAGGCCTCAAAGTCAAAGCTTCTTTTCAGGGTAAAGATACCTTGTTCCAACGGTGTCTTTATATCGTGGACCCCACAATCTCATCTCTCTCACATCACATATATCACTCGTCTTCACATCTCATCACCCCATTCGCACGACGCGAATCCCCCGCCACTCGGTCATTGGGAACCAACAAGTCCGTGCCTTGCTTATGGAACACATTTCGGGCATCTTCTGCACCCCTCCCGTGTCAAGTTGGGCATACATGGCTGGGGCAATCTTCAACGATTGATAATAAGCCGTTCACGCCAGGGGTTATGAGCTGTGGGCATGGGTGCTCCCGCTCGCTTCAAAGGCACGCTGCACGTCATCATAAGCTGAGACTCGAGTCTCGAACTTGTGCTTCAGCAGAGAAGCGTGTAAATTGGTGTCTTGGCTTGGATGATCATCCTTGGATTTTCACCAGGGGCCAATGCAACAGGGAGTGGAATAAATCCGCCAGGCGCCAATTGTCCTCTCTGGCTTTATTCCTTGTCACCCGGTCAAGGCAGACTCGTCAGACGTTGGTGATTGAATGGCCGTCCCCTGTCATGTCCCTTTTGACACGAACCGTTAATCTCAAGCACCCGCCTGTAGCGCCTGGATCGCTGATCTCTGACGATGCATGTACTATGCATCTTAAGCAAGTGGTGAGAGTTCACATGTCACTCGACGCATTGATGCAGGTGCGTGGTACAGTTCAATGCTGTGATTATCCCTGCATATCCTCGAACTTTTATATCATCATAAATTCTAGTATTGCGCCCGACATTACACGTCATATCTTCATTTTTTGCCAGTATTGAGAGGACTGTTGGGGTCGAAGACATCAGTGGTGATGAGATCAGGGTAGGACACGCCGCCCTGCTTGAGTGCGCTGTCCATGACCTCCATGATGACTATACTCTCTGACCAGGGCATTGAAGCACTCTCCTTTTTGCCATCCCGCAGGCAACGTGCACACTCATCCGCCTCCCAGAACATACCGTGGCCCCAGTTGTTGCGCTTAGGATCTGTAGGAATTGGGCAATTCACTACTTCCACCTTGCCATTGGCGTCCGACTTGATGACCTTGTACTCGGTCGGCCGGAATGCAGGGCCAGTAACCTGTATTTCCCCCTTAGAGCCCTGGATACGGATCGCGGGGCCACCAGTGTAGAGACCATCGACGTCGGTGGCAATGCGCAGTGAGGTAGTCGCAATACCGACAGAGTTGTGCTTAGGAAACTGACACATGATACTCGTGGACTCGTCGGCACCTGTGCGATACTTGTTGATGGAGGCTACAACCTTTGGAGCCTCCTTTTCGGTTTCGGGCTGAACATGATAGAGAGATTGGAAGACCCAGGTCAAGGAGTAGATGCCGAGATCGAGTAAAGCACCGCCTGCAAGATCAGGATTGACCATGCGGTTGGAATCGGGAAAGTCAAGATCTTGGGTATCAGTATTCTTGTTGAACGAGAGGTCGGCTATAGGAGGGTCAGCTTTATCGTATAACCTCGACAGGCATTCTTCTCACCGAATGTACGATAAACAGTACCAATGGCACCAGACTGGATCAACTCTCGAATCTTGATACTGAGAGGGAAGTATCGTGTCCAGACAGCCTCCATAAAGAAGAGGTTCTTGGACTTGGCGACCTCATACAGCTTCTTGGTCTGTGCAGCAGTAACGGTGAGTGCCTTTTCGCAGAGAACATTCTTGCCAGCCTCGAGGGCCAGCATAGCATTCTGGAAGTGGTGGCTGTGAGGTGTAGCAACATAGATGATGTCAACGTTTGGGTCGGCGACTAGCTCAGCGTAGGAGCCGTAGACAGCAGCGGATGAGGGGCCATCAATCTTCTTGATAAAGTCGCGCGCGCGGTCGACGGAGCTGGATGAAGCAACGGCGACAATCTCATGCTGTACATCGTTGACGTCGCGAGCGGCAGGATCTGTAAGGATATCCTTAGTGAAGCCTATGATGGGAGTTTAGTGTTTTGTTCATCGTGTTACAGAGCTACTCACACACAGCGATGCCACCGGTAGCCAAGATGCCCCATTTAGCAGTGTAGGGAGCCATAATTACAGTTGGATGAAGCTGATATGTCACGTAAAGGACCAAGATGTTGGAAAAGAGGAGGTTGATAAGTGTTCTCGGAGTCAACAATTTAAGTGACGTTACATATCTTGATGAGCTCCGACCCCTCAGAACGATGGCGGGGCAATTGCAAGATCCAATCCAATCCAATCCAATACTTTTATCCAAGGCGGTTTGTGGAGAGATGCGTTCACTTGGCATATCCGGAGATACGGCCCGTTGTCCAACACTAGACAGGCTTTAGGAAAACCTCTGAGCAACAGGTATCTTGTAAGATCGCCGATCAATAGAGCACGGTTTATTTAAATGTCATGACGCATTGGTGGTGAACATTTGTACTTAATCCTGTCCATTAATTGTGATTCCTCGACCCCGAGTCGATGTGGGGGTTAAAGACGTCAACTATGAACTGACTTACATGATCTAGTTATATCCGCTTAATTTCCAAATCAACATATTCTTAATGTTCGTCGAATACGAATCTACTGTAAATTTTCTCTAACTGTGTTTGAATAACCCACCGCCGTCTCACGCTCGGCTTGACGTTTATCGGTTTTATCAAGGTATGGGCTTCGTTAGACGGCCGCAACCCTAGACCTCTCAACCAAAAACTGCATGACTACACGCGGGGAACCCTCGCGGTTTGCAGTCAATGATTGGCTGCCTAGTAATGTGTTGGTCGTTATATTGACGCCATGTACAGGTGGTTTGAGGCTCAACATGGCGTAATTAACCAAAATCGACAGCTTAACCTATCTCCATACTCCACCTCTTCACATTTCAGATACCCCTCTAAAGCTGTCTCTCCCAAGTCCTGCGTTCTGCCAACACCAACAAACCAGCTGAGAAAAAATAGAGTCAACTCCGTCTTATCTTCTCTTTTCAGTGGTATCTTTAAACATGGCAGCCAAACTAGCCAAAGACCTCACCCTCAAGGGCTCATCCACTGCCATGCCAAAGCTGGTCTATGGCACAGCGTGGAAAAAGGACAGATCAGCAGATCTCGTTTATTTAGCCCTCAAGCACGGCTTTCGTGGAGTCGACACAGCAGGACAACCTAAGCATTATAATGAGAAGGGCGTTGGGGAGGGTGTGCAAAAAGCTATTAGGGAGGGCCTTGTTAAACGTGAAGGACTCTTTGTAGGTTCCGTCACCATATACATCAACAAACTAGGCACTGACCTGTCCTCAGCTTCAAACAAAGTTCTCTCCTTCAGGGAACCAGGATGAAAATGCACCTTATGATTTTGATGCACCGCTTGTGGATAAGATTCATCAATCTATTCAGTCATCGTTGACTTACTTCACCATTGAAGGCGAAGAACCTTACTTTGACAGCGTGCTTTTGCATAGCCCCCTGCGAACTCTCGAGGAAACTATCACTGCGTGGAAGACGCTGGAGACATACGTGCCTCACAAGATCCGCAACCTAGGCATCTCTAACACAACACTTCCAATCCTTGAAGCACTCAACGATGCTGTCACTGTTAAACCAAGTGTTGTCCAGAACCGCTTCTACCCTGATACCAACTTTGAGGTAGATCTCAGATCCTACTGTCGAGAGCAAGGTATTGCTTTCCAGTCGTTTTGGACTTTCAGCGCCAACCCCAGGCTCGCTGCTACCAAGCCAGTTAAGATGGTTGCAGAGAAGGCTGGAATTCCCGAGGTAGCTGCGTACTATTCTCTGGTCTTGGGGCTCGAAGGCGTAACGGTTCTGGACGGGACAACGACCGAAAATCACATGAAGGATGATCTTGAAGGTATCGAGAAAGTTGCAACCTGGGCGGAGACGGACGGGATAGCTGAATGGAATTCTGCCTTGAAACAGTTTAAGCAGAGTATCGGGGAAGTCTGAGGGTCTCTCTGCATACTTCTGGATCTTCAGTGGTGCTCAGGCGGTTGGTACCTAGGTACCTACTGTTGGCGTTAGGGAAGTAGAGGCAGATCTGCAGTTTCTGCCAGTGATAGAAAATGGAAGCCGTCAACTTTACCTTTGGCACCAAACGCATTCTGATTCATTCACGTAAAGTCTACGTAAATTCTTGACCTTTACTGTCACATTACTTCTCTTACTATCAATAACATAAACCTTTTTCCCCTCTCGGACTCTTTCAAAATCAAGAGAGCATTTGCATTCATCACAACTTGCATTTCGCCGCCTCTTATGATCG